TTATGGCTAAATACCAAAACATAGCCTCCTAAGATTTTTTTTTATTTTCTTTCGAAAAAAATCCATAATTTCTATATTTTTTTAAATTTTTACTTCCGCCCTTAATACTTCCAAATATTAATTAAAATCAAATCAATTTTACATAACTTTGTTCAAATTCAAGCATATTTGTAAAAAACTTAGATTTTTAATTTTTTATGGAATCACAAAATTCATGTTTGTTGCAATGATATTCAACACAACTTTAAAATGTCGCAATTTTTTTTTAACAAATTAAAACATTACTAATGATAATAGCCATATTAAAAAAACTCGCCTTAAAGTGCAAAAGTTTTATTTTATTTAAGTAAATATTAATACAATTTTGATATTTTTTGAGCTACCCTGTATGCTGTTTGACTTGCAACCATTCTAAGTGCACCTTATATGATTATCAGACATGCACCAACTTTTGGCCTTGTCAGGACCCCCGCCAGACCTGAAGCCGCCCGCGTGCGATTTCATATTTTGGCGCCCCTCAGTTAGGGTTGGCGAATAAAAAAGCGCAAAGATTTTTGGAGTGGCATTGAGTCAATTGCGTAGGTTGTCATGTTTTTTAATAACTACATAAGTGAGTAATTTTGCAAGAACCAAAACGAACATTTAACAGAAAAATTGGCCCATTGGCTGTACGGCTGTACGGAGCTAAGAGGCGACCTGGGTCCTTATTCTTGAAACAGGGGAACAACGTTCCCAGGAAAACGAGTGTTCCGTCTTTCTCAATGATATAGAAATGCTAATATAAGTAGGTAACAAAAATGGGACACTCGTTCTCCTGGGAGCTTTGCTCCCCTGTTTCAAGAATAAGGACCCTGCAGCCTAATTCTCGCTCGATACGCACGAGGGCGCAGGGCACGGTTTTATTAATTTTCAGTCTTTGTCTGACTCACATGAGATTTTACACACAGAACTGAGTAGGACACAGCACTTGTTTCCAGTTACTAGATAAGCGCCCGGCCTTTGAATAAAAAGGAAAATAATTGAAACACTTTAGGAAAAAAATGTAATTAATAAATATTTAATAAATTAAATTACAATTTTTTTTGTATATATTTTTCTCTGGTTCGATTTGCCGCCCGCGTGCGCCGCACGCCTTTGCGCTTATGGTAGCGGGGGCCCTGGGCCTTGTTTGTATTTTGATTGTGCTATTACTAAAAAAAATCCCATATGTTGCACACTTAAGTAATGACACTGTACATATAGCGACAACGTGGTATAAATTTCAAGGAGATCGGTCCAGCCGTTCTCGAATTCTAAAAAATAATAGAGTTACATCGGTTGAATGCGCAAACTTAAATAAATGTGGCAACGTTGGGTCATGCATGTGAATTAGTTTGTTTATAACTATTAATTAATTAAAAATTATTATTTTTTTTCCAGGATAAATGTAGCCTGTGTCATTTCCGTTTATTTAGAGACTACGTGGTATAAATTCCAAAGAGATCGGTCCAGCCGTTCTCGAATTATGAGCTCTTTAACCAATCCATCTGTGTTTTATATACAAGGTGGAATTTTCAAATGGAATAAGTTCAGTATCTGAAAGCCTGTTTATTTTCTGGGAAAATTAAAAAAAAACGGGTCCCTTTATTTTCAGTTTGGCAGATTTTTTTCAACCTTTTCATGGAATTTACCCCTCTCTTGAGGGTAGAAACCACCCCCAACTTTTTTTTTCAAATGAAAAGATGGGTATGTGTTATGATAGCTCGTTGGAATAGGCATAAAAAAGGAATATGACCCATTATTTACTTTTGCATTTCGGTGATCTAGTTATGTAATTTTTTTTGACATTAACACACTATTTTAGGGTTAAAAATCCAAGTATCAGGCATCAAATAGTGTGTTAACGTCAGAAATAATTACATAACGTTACAAATGGGGCTTGTTTCGCATTAGGGTTCTACCAAGAAGAAATGCTGAAGATATTCAACAATTTTAACTGTAAAAAAATTGTGTGGAAAAATATGTTTTGATTTTTTTCTCGCTTTCTAAATCACCTGTGATTCACGGGCGAGTCAATTCGACGATCCCAAAAACATAAAATCTTTGCTTACAAGTAAAGTGAAGCGACAAAATACAAAAGAAAAGGTAAAGTAAAAATATACAGTAAGTGTAGTTACACAAAGAACAAATATAAACTATATGAAATAATATCTGAAATGGTCTTTTCAATTTCACTAAAAAGCACATCGCTCAAGTTTGCCTTGAAATTCCAAGCGTATGATTATTATCTTAAATTTAGAGAATTATCTATAAAGTTGAAAGTCCCGCTGGTAGGTACCTGTTTTAAGCATGAGTGGGTTCCTTGAAAAAAAATCAATATAAGTAGATAAAGATTTGTTTGAATGGAGATGGCGCAGAGGCGTCCTCTACCACTGCAACTTTGTTAGATTCATCGTGGTGTCTCATATCTGTCCTTAGAGTGCGTTCTCTAGACCCGTTTTTTTAATTAGACTCCAGAGCCATGGTTCCGGCTACTCTATATAGCTTGTAGGATTGGGCTTTTCCTCTCCAAGCCTGCATAGCGCTTTGCAGTGGAACCACACATGTACAGCAGTTTCTTTCGCCTCCTAGCGGAACTTGCACAGGCTATCCTCTTCCAGGCTCATCCTTCCCAGGTGACGAACTGATTCGCCTGTCATTGTCCTAGTGTTTGCTGCCACCAGCTCCGGAACTCCCTGTCTATCCAGTTCTTGACTATGTTTGCCGCCTGGCTGTCCGAGTAAATACCGATGTTTTCACTCAACTTTCCTGTCATTTATTAATACGGCACATTGTATTTTCCATTTCCATCTGGAACACCGTGACGTGCTGACCGAGACTGTTGGATATCTCCACCCTTGGTCTGTCTCCGTAGATGCCAGCTCCAACCCAAGAACGTTAAACCACAAAAGGAAAGTTACTTCTCGTAAGCGCTGCGTTCGTCAATCTAGCCAACCGCAAAAAGGTTGATGACCAGGCGCGTGACGTACTCCGGCTCACTCAATACAAATATTTGGCATTAGTTACATTGCTCTGCAATGAAAATTCGCCGTTAATTATGCCATTGTTTTAATATATACTTTTAATTTTTGCTCTGGGTTATTACTTTTCTAGATTAATGCAAATCTCAATTTTGTTATTCCAAAAGTTATTTATGCTTAAATATCAGAATCCTCTTTAAGTATGTTTTTTTTTGTTGTATGTGGTTATATTCAGCTATCTTCTTAATTGTGATCTCTAGAATACATTAATTTTTGTTCTCAAAAATATAATATACTTATGTATAACAATAATAACAATTCAAAAATGTTAATACCGTTATTATTTCTCCTACTTTAGAATCAATCTATTTGCTTTTTAAATTAATACATTCAGATAATTAAATTACGGAAAAGTGGTTATTTCTATTTAACGATTTTCAAAATACAAATAAAGACTTGGGACATTCTGTAATAAAAGAACCTATAACAAAAGTCCATAAAGTAGGAAGGCTATTATAATAATACAGGGTGTATCAGGTACGAGTACAAGTATTTTAACATGGGATAATATGGCCCATTTCAAGCTAAAACGGTCCTATTAACAATGGGTCAATTATTGTTAGTACCTATTTTCGGAGTAATATCGCAGAATTTAAATTTAGAAAAATGTTAACAACGTGACAACATTGTACAAATATTATCTCTGCCATGATATAAATGTAAATAAAACTGGTAAACTTGAAAGGTTTTTTTTTTCGCAAGGAGTTTATTTTTTTCCACCTGTTTACGTTTTGGTTTATTATTGGCTTTCAAATTAAGTTAATTATAATTGGCATTTTTATCACTTTTCTAGTAAAAATGAAAAATGTGCCGCTTTATTAAGTTGTGAATTGCACTCGATAACATTTTTGCACTAAACATTCAAGAGAAAAATAATACTTACTCAGCTTTTTGCCAAATCCTTATTATGAAAATATTAATTTTTGTTAAAAGCTTCTCAAAACACTAAAATCAACACGCACACTCACATTTCTCGTATCGTGCAATCTTTGAAAAACGGGCACAATGTTCTTTCATCAGGTTGGTGCCGTTTTTCTGGGAAATCTTTCCCTGTAAATTCTGGAGGTTAAAGGAGCATTTTGCAACGATTCTGCCTTAACAAGTATCTGCATGTTCGACGTTTGTGAACATTTCATTTTCGAAAAAGAATGAATTACGTGCATTTCCAATAATTCAACTGACATGAGAAGACAAATCAAGAATCAATTAAGTTCAACCACCTATTCTTTTTTGGGCTATGTTGTCAGATACCGAATTACTAGTGAAATTTTCATGTTGTTTTTCAAATTTTTATTATTGTTGTTGACTAAAAATGCATAATTACTTAATAATTGAATGAACTAAATTTTTTTAAATCTCATAATGATTGAAATTTTCTTTATCTTTCAAATACTCGTCAAAAAATGTCAAAATTTCAAAGGCCTTTTTCTTGAAACTGGTTGAGTTTGGACCTCATTTTAAGTTTAACGTTCTTGGCTCCGATTCTTTTTTTGGTCTTGGAGCTGTCGGTGTACCAGATGTGGTCTGCTTCAATTGGAGGATTTTCCTTCCAGTTTTCCCTATCCGGTATGGCAACCCGGAAGTGCCTGTGCTGAAGATGAATATAGGCGTTGTTTTATCTGAGAGCATCTCGAACAAGGGGCGGACCTCTAGATCCTCCTCTATTTTCCAGCTCATGGTCCTTGGTGTTCTATAATTGGACCCTTGCCTTGCTCCAGTCTGTAGATATGTAGTTTAATATAAGTACTGGCAAAGTTTTCCTTATTAACACCTGTAAGCAAAAAGCAACTGTAACCACGGTATTTTATTTCCGTCCCTGTATGTAAAAGATGAAGTCCGGTGAATATTTTATTAACGCGGATTTCATAAGGCTATAATAGTTCCCGGTATGAAATAACACGCCGCGCACCGTTTTAGACACTACAGATGGTTTTATTACAGGAATCTCACTGTCATAGAAGAGGATCTGGGCTACTTGAAAATATTTCTGAACGAATCCTACCACAATAACGACTTCCATATTAAAAGTATTTGTACAGTGATAATGACACTTTTTGACGATTTGTCATTAAAATCCCACTTACAGTCTTTGCCAAAGATTTTCCAAGAACTATGGACCGTAATGGGTGCTTCAGGAAAAAACATCAAAGAAAGTATCAACTTTGTTATAGAGAAAGTAAGTTAACAAGTGCTAGATAACCAAAAAGATCTAGATACAATATCCACTATTTACCTACCCGGTTATTTTCTAGCTTAAGCTTTATTACGCAAACACGACCCAATTTATCCATGACCTAATTAATGGCGATCCCATTAAGCATTTATCAAGTATTTTGGAAAAACTTGTTGATACCTATGATGATTACATTAAAAACATGCATGTGTCTGCTTTAAAATATTTAGAAAAGATATGGTCAGGAACTCACGATATGTTGGTTGATAATTGGCATCAAATATTAGCTGCTTTGGAACCTACTTTTCTTAAATTTATTCACTATGGAGAGACTATAATATGGACCACTGGAAAAGAATTTTTAGGTAAGGTATACCTATATATTAACATCTTGTTATTTATTGAGTCGTTTTCCGATACTTAGGTATAAATTTATCATTTTTTCAATCACTCACTCATAAAGCTCCAAACCCAAATATTATTCAAACTATTTATTCTTGATAAATATTGACAGGTAACAAATATTGGAACAATTTGATTTTAGATTTTCTTTACACTCGCAAGAATAAAATCATCGAATCGGCATATTTTATGGAGTTTACGAAATTTTCACGAGATGTAGATAGATTTTACAGGGATATTACTGGAAATAACACCGTAGAAGCCATTTATAAATATGGCAATATCGCTTGGAATTTTGTAAACGAAAAATACATTAATCATATCCCATTCGGGAAAGAACTTAAGGCAATACTATTGGAGATCATAGCAGAATTAAAGCAACTTGGCGATGTACCCTCAATTACATACGCTCTGGACATATTCAATGATATGTTTGCAGCCGCTAAATATTACTACAAATATTTTGAAGTTGAATATAGAGCTCATCGCCTTATTAAATTTCTATACAGAAAGTTCTCAGAAATGGCTTTAACGGCATTAGAATTGGACAACAGGTAAGTTTTTTTTTTATTCCGCATTTTCAATAATTATTTTAGTAGTAGAAAAAATGACATGGTTGTATTATTATAAGGCATCGGATTTGCTCGTAATAGTATATTATATACCTAGGTATAGTATAATGACCAACTTCTCTACCTAGGTATATATGTTATCTCAAAAACTCTTAAAATCACTTTTTAAAAAACACTAATTTATTTAAAAAAATACTAGTTACAAATAAAATCGGACATTAACTCAACTATATAAAATAATGACGAATAATGACGCTTAAGCTAAAGAGACAGGATCTTTTATAATTAAAAATATGTCGATCTTGCTGTTTCTATGGGAACGTTGCGACCATGGACCAGAGTTCTTGGCGTGACATGTTCTCACAGGATAACTTGCTGAAGTAGCATCTAGACTTTGTAATACTTCGTACCACTATGGTGTTGAAACGCGTCTTGAGGTCAATGTAGTCGTGAAATCCATATAACAGCTCCCCCATTAAGTAAAAAGTTGGAGCTTTGCAACAATTTTTTCAAAGACCAACTGGGTTGTTGTGTAGACTGGTCATCTCTTGTTCTGAGGGTAGATTTGAAAGAACGGTGTTTCTTCGTTTCGGTAAAAGCTTTCTAAGGTTGTTGCCTATTTGAAGATGTGAATGAGACTTCGGCGGTTGTGGTTCGTCTTCGTCGATAGGGCTAGGCTTGGAAGGTGCCTTTCGCCGACACTTACAACAAATGTAAAGGATTACAAGAGCTGCTATTAGTACGATGATGAAGTAGGTGAACCATTGGCTGTGTCTTGATACGAATGGTTCTTGGATTAGTTTATCCAGTTCATCGGAAAATTGGTTTAGTCTATGCTGTGCCACGTTTAGATCATCGATGTTGATTTTAGATAGTTTGAGTGGTTTCAAATCTGGCACATGAAGATCCACCGGCAGGTGTTTGCAGCAATCATAGGGAATTTCCACTGGATGGCTTTTATAGGTGACGTGTCTGTATTTTTCTGCTAGATTCCTAGCATGAATTCTGGAGTTTCCTACAAAGGCATTGCAGGTTGGTTGGAGCTTGAGCACTGTGTTGGTGTTGATTGTTTCTGTCACACTGTTTTTGCCATCACATCTGATAGTTATTGGAAGAGACCATGATAATCTTATGAGCCAGTAGTTTGTGTCTAGCTCTTGCACGTTGTAATCACTAGCGAGTAAGATTGAGGTTTGGCAAGTCTTGGGAAGTGTTCTTGTTGACTTCAGGAGTTGGGCTTCGCAAATGGCATCACTGTCTATTGGGTATTGTAGAAGGTCAGAACATATCCTTGTGTTATTATCAAGAGGTTTGCAGTGATCCAGGCTTTGGAGTAATATGTACAATAAAGAATCGTCGTCTCTCGCGATATATTTTTGAGTTATTGGTAAAATATGATGAAAACCTGTTCGATTATCCAAAATTGGGATAGGGTAGATGTGATAAAGAGTGTATATTTCAGGTTCGATCAGCGGTATTCTAAGAATAAAGACAATTTTACCTTCTGATTGATAAGCTTCTAAATCAATTATATCCAGGTATCGTGCTACATATGGAAGATATGTAGGTAAAGGAAGGTTATTTTTGGACAAAGAGCGCGATATTTCCTATAAGGAGGCGACCAAGTCCTTAGGAGTTATAATTGAGGTATGTAAGATCTTTAAACGTGCAAACGTTATTGCTTCTAGAATGTCATTAAGATAATTTTCTAGAAAGACGTAGCTTTCCATTAATGATTCACAGAGGTTTAGAGTTCTGGTTTGGGCTTCGTAAAACTTTAAATCGTTCGAAATGTCAGATATGGATTCTTTGATTTCTGCTATATCGATGTTGAATGTTTCTTCATCGATTTGGAGTTCTTGAATAGTAGAATTGAAATTTCAAGTTCTCGTTCGTCTGTGTTAATTTTGTCAATACATTTGTTGAAGTATTCACCATCGGTAGAGTCTAAGTTTCCGGTGATTGATTTAAAGATACTTCCTATTCCGTTAATTAGTCCACGTTTGTTTCTGTAGTTTGTGTCGCCAGTGATTTCATTAAGTTTCTGGTCGACTGAATCAGCAACTTGAGTTAAAAGGCTGAAATGAGTTTGAACTTCAACTTTGAAGGCTGTCATTCGAGGAGAAGTGTCATCAATTATTTTGGTCAGGCTAGTGAGAATATTTTTATTGTTCTGGATAGTTTCTCTGAATGATTCTATTTCTTTGTAAACTAAAAGGGTCCATTTCTCATTTGAGACTCTGAGATTACCTTCTTCGTGATAGAATATTCCAACTGTGTTGTTAATTGGAGTTAGAAGAAATTGAGGGGTGACGACTGGAATCAGCCCGACGTGTCTGGAAAAGAATAGACTAGTCATAGAACGGCTTTAGTCTATCAAAGTTAAATTTAGAAAATTGATTTGTTTTGAGGTTTTTCACTTTCGCTGAGTTTCTATAAACTTCAATTATTTCGAAAGGTCCGTTAAAGAGGTTTTGGGCTTTGTCTTTTATTTGAGTTTCTTTGACATACACTTTGTCACCTGCTTTATATTCTGGAAGATTTTGTGAGACCGTCTTGTCGAACCTAACTTTCGACTTTTCTTTCTGGATATCGGTTCTGGCACGAGCCATTCTATAATAATATTCCATTCTGTTGTTGAGGTCTCGTATGTATTTGGAGATTAGCTGTTTTTGATTATAAAGAGTCTCAGGGGGTCTATTTGACGTATGGCCAAAGATCAATTCGAAAGGTGTGAATCCGTGTGTCTTATTTTTGGTATTATTATAACAGATAACTGCGTAAGGGAGAATATTGAATGGATGTTCATCTGGATGTTCCGCTTTATGAACGCGGATCATCTCCGTTAAAGTTGCATGGAATCTTTCCAGCGATCCATTGGATTGAGGGTGGCTTACACTTGAAAATGTCAATTTTATGTCGTAGAGTTGACAGAGGTCTTTGACTAAGGCGTTGTTGAATTCACCTCCACAATCAGAGTGTATTCTCAAAGGTGTCCCGTAATGTTGGAAAAATACTAGTAGGGTGTTAACAATTGTGGACGCCTTTTTATCTGAGATTGGGTAAGCTTGAGTGAATTTAGTAAGTTCATCCCTAATTGTTAGGGCGTAGTTACGAACTGGGAATTCAAAAAGGTCAATGTTTATTCTTTCGAATGGAGTTTTGGGAGTCTCGGTGATAACGAGAGGAGAACTAAGATTTTTCCTACAGATTTTGACTTTTTGGCAGCTTTCACAGGCTCTGATGAATTTCTCAACATCTTTGGTTAAACCTTGCCAGGAGTACTTGTCTTTAATTCTTCTAACGGTTTCATTGATTCCACGATGTAAATTCGTTTTTCCAGTATGATATTGGTCTAGGATAATTGGAATTTGATCTTGATCTGGGGTTTTGACGATATTTTGGCATATCTTAAGCTTAATGTCTTTTTCGGCAAATATGAAGGAAAATATTTCGAGAATAGGTAATTCCAGATTGTTTTCTATGCAAAAGGTTTCTTCAGGATCAAATTCGTTTTGACATTTGAAAAGCGAGTGGAAGAGGATAGGGACTATTCTCTCATTTTTGCAAGGAATGGGAATTATGAAGTATTTACGTGCCTTCACAGATTTGCTGGATAAAATGTTAACTTGATTGGGTTGAAAATCGAAATTTTCTTCGAATAGATCATCTATAATTTTGTAATGTAATTCTGTTAGTTTGGTTTGCCAAAAGAATGTCACAATATTTTTGTGAGACTTGTCCAGAAGTTGTAGGTTGGAAATCTCTATCTTTGAGTAATCAATAATTGATCTGGTCTTGTAGAGATTTACGAAAGAGTTGTATTCTTCCTCAATTTGGGTTGTTTCGTCATTGTTTTCAATTTCGACGATTGGAATTTCTTGTTGTTGTTGACTTGTAGAGGGGCGGTTTCTTATATCGTCAATATCGGGTTCTTCTTCGTTAGAAGCGAGAATGTGAATTTTGGAACTTAAATCTGAACAATCTTTAAAGTGGTTTACTTTTATTCGAGATAGGGCATCAGCGTTCTTATTAATTTTCCCAGGTTTATACTCGATTCGATAGTCGTATTCTTCGAGTTTCAAGCGCCAGCGAGCTAAACGACTTCCAGGGTCTTTAATTGAGAAAAGCCAAGTTAAAGGGCGATGGTCTGTGATAAGGACAAATTTTCGACCAAAGAGGTAAGGTCTAAAATGCTTTACTGCCCATACAATGGCCAGTAATTCTCTCTCTATGGTAGAGTATTTAGTTTCGGCATTGCACAGTGTTCGAGAGGCATAGGCTATAGGGAGATCTTTTCCTATAGGGCCTTGTGACAAAACAGCACCGATGACAAAAGCGCTTGCGTCGGTGGTTAATAGAAATGTCTCTTCGAAATTGGGATAGATCAGAATCGGGTCAGAAACTAGTGCGTTTTTCAACTCGTTGAATGCGGATACGCATTCTGGGTTAAAGTGAAATTGAACATCTTTCTGGAGGAGTTTTGTCAAGGGCTTTGATGTTTTAGCAAAATTGGGGATAAATCTACGATAATATCCTGCTAATCCTAGAAAAGATTTAATGTCTTTTGGATTTTTGGGTGTTGGAAAGTTCTGAATACAACTTATTTTTGCAGGGTTCGCTTTTACACCGTCTTGAGTGATAAGGTGTCCCAGGTAAGCTACTTCTTTTCGAAGAAACTCACATTTGTCCGGCTGGATTTTTAAGTTAGCTTTATGGAGGCGTTTAAATACTTCGGTAAGCCTTGAAATATGTTCGTGGATGGTAGGAGAGTAAACGATGATATCGTCCATGTACACTAAGCATCTTTCGTTTTGAATGCCGAGGAGGATATTGTCCATGACTCTTTGGAATGTGGACGGGGCATTTTTGAGTCCAAAGGGCATACGAACGAACTCGTAGTGGCCATTTTCTACGGAAAAAGCGGTTTTCGAAACATCTTTGGGGTCTACTTCTATTTGGTGAAAACCTGAGGCTAAGTC